CATGTTTTTACTGAATCATTAACGAAAATTAAATGTTTTCGACTCCCTTTTCTCCGTTTACTGGGGAGATAATCTGCAGGGCCGCTCGCTGAGCGCGGAGCCTGCTTGTGAACAGACACCGGATGGCTCTATAGCACATGCGCACAAGGGGGTGGGGCGTTTTCGCTTCTCACTCGCACTTGATAGAAAAAGAACCTAGGTTCCTAGCCAGGCCCCCAGCATGCACAGACTTCTACCGCCCTGAGCGTGCACGACCAGACCCTTAAAGCAAATTCGCGTCATCGCCTGGATGTTGTGGGAAATATGAGCGAGTTGTTTGTGTGATTTGGGTTGATCGTAATTTCTTTCTGAAACAATTAATGAAGCTGCAGAGTGTTACACAGAATGTCTCACCAACTCTGGACACCCCCCCCCCCATAACTACTAAATGTTTCACGATATTGCAGTTTTGCTAAATACGGAATCATGAGGGAATATACGTAGTAATTTGCCGTGTTAGATACGAAGATACTATTGAAAACTGCATCAAAGCAGACATGAATGAATTTTCAGGATCAGAATTATTTAAAAGACAAAAATGTTTCTTTTAAAATTTTTGACACAAAAGCGACTCAGATGGAATATCTGTTTCAAGATTTTGAAAACTTTCATTTTATTGAATTTCTTGACGAAAAACAGTTTTCCATTTACAAAGCGTCTTTTCCTTCGAAAAAAGTTATCTTAATAAAACAATATCCATTGTTGGACAGTGAGCAGCTTCGAAATGAACTAACAAATGTATTAATTGATAATGCAAAATACACGCCAGCAGATTTGTTGTTGAAATATTTCTTGGATAATGCTCTAGAAAAGAAATAAGAGACTGTTCACTTGATGCAACTCATTGTTAGTTTAACGTTCCCTGTATCTACAACATTACGAGAAAGGAATATGATTCCATTAATGAGAGTAGACATTCCTAAGAAATTCCATGGGAAATATCAGGCTCAGTAATTTGAGTACTCCGGCTCTCGAAAAGTGTCTACTAAGTAATCTTACCACAGTCAACAATGTTTGCTGAATGATAAACTCTATGAATGGAGCAGATTAACAAAAAAATGTAAGGTACTTTTTTCTGAATTCTCAAATGCATGACTCTAGTTGGGTCACCGCTAGCTAGATACCTGGGTCGACTTTAGTCGCTGTCTGGAGAAGAATTCTAGCGGCCGGTTGCTCTGATCTCTATTTTTCCGTGGTATCTCAGATCAAAATCAAGCGAATGCCGGAACGCCACCCTAACAAGCGGGTCACAGGCCACGAACAATCTTTCGTTCTTCTTTCTTGTTCTATCCTCCCCCTATCCTTACACACACACGCACTACACTATAATCATACCGAGAGACCGGTCGGGACCTTAGAGCATGTCACAGCTGGGCGGTGCCCTGGTAAGATAAAACCCCTCTAGCTATGGGGCAGGTTGGCGGCGATCTCACCTTCAAGTGCGGGAAGATCACAGTCACCTCACACGGCAAACGCATGCACTACAATTACGGGACTAACGACCTTGGCTGTTGACGCGCTCTGAATAACTAATCGATCGACCTTTGGGCATAAATCAAAAACTTCACATTCATTTGTGTTAAACTTATTTTCTCATAATACCTTAACGCAACCAGATAACCAACAAGACAGTCCGTTACGAGATATGAAAGAAAATGACTGCACCTAAAAATGGCATGAGAACATTATTTCCATGAAATGGTATTTCTTGTTTAGGCTTTTTACTTTCAAGCTTACTTCGTACTCACGTTGTAAAGGGAGAGTACAGAAATAGTGCAGGGGAAAGAGACTATTTTTGAACAGGAAAACTTGTTCTGTGGGTACCCGATACAGTCGAAAAAAATTGATAAATATCGCTCCTATATATTGGGGTGCCCGCTTGAAACAAGACAGGGAGCAACATTTCAGGGTTCCCTTTCTATTGAGCCATTTATTTACAAGAAAATAAAGAAATAATACAAGCAAAATAAAGTTGCAATTTAAATGATTCAATTAATTTTACGTTAAATCTTATACAGGTTGCCAGTTGGCTCAAAGAACCTCGTATCCAAATGTATTACAACCCCGAAATTGTCACTAAGGCGAAAAATTAGGATTGAATATATTTTCGGAAATAAAATGTTTTATTACAGGCTTGTTTCAAAATGTTCAGTCGGACCTCCCCCCCTGGTGTACGCATGCATATTCTCTTACAAGTAGTAAATTTCCTTCCTCTAATAGTCCCATGGGAAAGTCTAGGGAACTCGGGGGATCCTAAAATGACAAAGAATAACTTCGTTACATGTCTTTAAGTGGGTAGTATATGCTATTATATGAAATGAATGACTATAGAAAGTTGTGTAGCCAATCCACGTTTTACAGGTCTTTCAACAGAAACACTGCATGTTCATGTACAGTTGATCTCAATCAAAAACAGAACAAACCCAGAAATAAGAGCCAGAATAACAATGGCATGGAAAAAATGTTGGAGTCAAGCATTTATTATTTTATACAATAAAATAAATATCTCACTAAACAAAAAATATGAACAAGTATGTGCTACCGGTCCTTATCTATGGATCACGAACTTGGTAATTAACGGAGGCACACAAAACCGCTCTCTAATGTGATGACAAAGAAAAATGGCGCGAAAAGTTCTACACATAACATTAAAAGTCAAAATAAATAGTGATTAAATAAAGACAGAAGATAAAATAACAGATGTAGTGACCCAAGTAAGCATAACGTTAGGCTGGCCATTGAGACTGAAACAAGATATTTAGACACATCATGCGACAGTATGGTGTGCCTGAATAGGTTGGAGGAATAGAGAAAGACAAAGGACAAGATGGCCAGATGAGGCAGCAGGCCACACTTGGCAACAATTAGTACAAAACGGAAACACCTGGAAATCGCTGAATCAACCATCCCAAGACTAAAAGAAGACAACGCAAGAAGAATGAACAAGATGGAAATCGCCAAACCACACCTAACTAGGACAACGATAACATTACGAAGAACAATAAAAAACATTATAGATTAATTAGGACCTGTTACTACAAACGAGATGACCTCATTTTAAATCATCAGAATTAGTTACGAACTACGTCAATTTGTGTGTTATAGAATCATGTTCTAAATTGTATCAATTACGTTAACTAGACAACCAAACCATTTAATTTTCAACAACGAAAATGCATGTATACAAAATACTGTTGGACCAATTGATTATAAATTATTACAAGTACTTACAATTACGAATTGTGAAAATTACGTCAATTGGCCAATCTAACCATTCCTTAATACTTACTATTTTCCCTGCATCAGGAGACGTCTGCCCTAAATGGGATGTAATTGAAATAATAATAAAACACAAACATTTGTTTACAGCAAAACGTCAGCCTGACTGTCCGGGGTCAACACTAAGGCCTAAACCGTTTAGAATAGGAGTCTGCAACCTTTTTGAAACTGCGGGCCTTGTCAAACCTCCAATAGCTCGCGGCCAGCACAACTCTAACTTACTTTTTATTTAACAAATTTAAAATATTAGTAGTATTGTCAAAACGAGCTTGGGATCCTGGTACAATAATATGGTGAAGAATCACTCTAATGGTTCTACAACATCATTTTATTTACGAATAAATACGATGTATTCATGTTTTTAAATATCGGTTTGGTGTAGGCCACGTAAAATGCCAAAAAATCCATGATTATTTTTCAGAAGCTTCCGACCCCTGCCAATCCCCGATCGATCTGTCCAATCTCGAGACCTTGCGACTTTTAAACGGCTGTTTTGATTTTTGGGAGTACTTTACATGAAGCTCAGTGTTTTCACTCCAAATTATGCTAAAACTACTCAAATTTTCGAAAAAATATACACGACCTCATTTCAAAATCTCTTTTGGGAACAGGTTAGAAATAGGCGTGACATTAAGGGGGAAATCTCCAGGCTTAGTTACAAGTTGTAGGAAAACGCCAAAAATATTTTTAATTTTTGCAATTTACGAAAAATCAGGGTTTTACCGAACATTGGACCTGCAGTTTTCTTAGACGTCCTTCACACTATCCAAGAACAAAACTTAATCAAAAACTAAGGACGATTTTTCTGAAAATGTCTCAGGGGCTTTCCCCTTAAAACTAAAATATCGGTTTCAAATTCAAGAGGCCAGATCGATTGAGTAATATCGAAGTTGGAGAAAAGCTAGTGTTGTTCACAGACGGAGAGACGTTTTGCCATCATTCGATTTTTCTGTATCGAAGGCCAACAAAACACGGATTCCGGCTCGATCACGTGTTACAGGACTTTTTCTAAATTGGATTTAACCCCTTTTTCGTTACTAGTCCTGCAATGAGTTTTCCTTCCGGAAACTCGTCGTTTTTTCAAGCTTACTTTCTCGCTACCTAACTTTCTCTCTACTGCGAAAGATGTAGCGAGAAAGAAAAAAAATTGGAGATTTCAAGAAAGTCTTGTTTAGGCAATGGTTTAAAAGTACACTTTCCTTCATTCAAAATTACACCAAATCTACTACTTTTGATCAGTAAATGGTGTACTTGCTGGTTTTGTCCTGACAGACGGGTTGCCGAAAACATCTTTTGCGGTATAAAGGACCCGCAAAGCGTGTATTCCGATGTATTCCGTGTACACAATGTATTGGAGAAACGCATTTAATACGGACGAGAATCGACATTTAAAGTATAAGGAACCCACAAAACTAATTTTGCTGTGGAACATAACGGGTTTTTCTTCAGCATTACAGTATTAACTCTAATTATGACAGTAGCACACAAGTAAAAGGCATAGAATTGACAACAATCCTTCAATGCAATTTTTTGTTTCATTAGGTTCATCTAAAATGACTGATAAAAAAAAAAGTAAGTGGTTCCTATAACATGGTATTAATTTTAGGCCAACACACAAACAATGGAAACTAACAATATTTCGATTGCTGTATTTATATAAATTATACAATGAATTCAAATTTACAGCACTGTTATATTATTGAAAGTACCTCATAATCTTCAGACTATTGACTTTCTTTTTCTGGATTTCCTATTCCCTGGACACTTTTCTTCCATATATACTATCTCCAGTCATCTTCGCAAATTTGAATAATTCATTCAAACCAAAACATTTTAATTCTGAGACTTCTTTCCAATAATTATCAGACTTTGTACAGCAACTTCAGAACAATGAAATGTTTACTATAATTAATATAAAAATTATAACTTCCTTTGCTTCAAATTAATTAAATTAATTACCTACCTTTACCCTTTAAATTACCTGATCAATAAGTTCATAATTGAAGGTTGTTGTCTTTTTTTGCTGAAGAACCAAACATTAATTGCGAATGTACATAAATATCCAATTCTAATTCAGTATAAAAGCAATATAAACTAAAATTTACCTTTCAAAGAGAAATGTGGATGCATAGGACAATAAGCATTTTATATTTTACTCTGACAGTGATCACTACCTGATATGTTGAGCTGTAGAAACCAGGTCTCCATTCCCACACTTTGAAATAAGGAGTGAATCTTCTAGTACAAAATCGGCACTTCATTGAATCCACAGAAAATTAGTTCACACACTGCTATAACATAATTGATGAAAATTATAAAATAACAAATTACAATGACACTTCACAAGCCAGAAATGAGCATTCAGGTGTGTTCAGCACCTAACAGGCAACTGACAATGAATACTTCCTACTCCTGCTTGACCCAGCCACCTGCTCACTACCTCCTGGCAAAGCCCCAAAAAAAGGACACCACACACAGAATGTTGATCAGTGAATACACCGTTACACAGGAATGCCACTAACAATGCATGACTAGATTTCAAAATAAATTGACAGCTACACCTAGCATTCCACGTCTTCATAAACATAAGCAATTGGTTTACATGGAAATGCCATTTATTGCAAACTTACTCTCATTGGGGTATCAAATACAACATAACGATGTTCCAGATTGATTAAAAATAACTACAATGAATTTATACACAAAGAATTCCCTCTGCTGAAGACAAAGTTGGCAGAATATGTTTGAACCATCAGTAATACATGGTAGGAGGTATAGGAAGAATGTAAAAGAGGCAATCAATGAACATGTATACATACTTTCCAGCTTTTGTTACAATACTTTACAGCACAAGTTCAAAAAAAGAAAAACAAATATCTTTGGCAACAAAACTGTGGTCTTTGACAAGATCATAATGAAACAATCAAAATCTGTCACAAGACAACATGAAGGAAAAAAAACCTTGTTACTTACTGATAGTTCCTTCATTACTACCTGAATGTACTTCCTAGAAAATTAGACTAAAAAATATGTACAATTTTAATCATAAGTACTATCACATCTTGCATATGTACTGTATTTGTGACAAAAATTTAATACCAATGATAACAAATACTGGTATGAACAACTTAAATTGGAACATTCTCTACAATGAAATTACACAATATTGTACTTGTATTCATGCAGCCTCCACACAAAGAAGAAAATGAAACATTTGCATCAACACATGACATTTTTTTTAAAACAAGTATAAAATAATAAATAATGGCAGAAGAGAATTCATTTTACCTAGACTTCCTACATATTTAAAGACTACTCCTGAACAACAGGATTCACTTAAAAAAGTGGGAAGGAATTTATGAACATTTTCTGAATCATTAAGTCAAAGCTATAACCAATTATGAATGTCAATTGTACATTGTCAGGACTAAAAATACATTCAATATTTCTTCAACATTCACTCATACAACAAAGTCATAAGTTTTTGCGTGCTGAAAATTGTTCTTCAGATGAATCCACATTTTGTACGTGTTGCTTACAAGAAACAATCTTTGTTTGGAATCATGTCAACATATCTGCAGAAGAGCAGTCTTCTTAGTTTAAAAAACTGTAAAGTATATACAGTGCCTTCCTTCAGATGAAATTAGAGTAAGTTTGTTCGGTATAGTTAATGCTGCTTAGTAGCACTACTATAACCAATCTTGAGAGACGAAAGTCACAGTCCTTGTAATATACAATGAACTGATTTGCCAATGTAACACAACAATCAACCTCACACTGCAGTAAATTCATAAAATCCACACAACACTGGGAATTGATGTTGATTAGTTATTCTGCAAAATTGCAGATTGCATACACTCAATGCTTGCCCGCAGCAAGCAGTTATCATTAGTGAATGGTTTCAAGCAGGCGAATTGTATTCTTCCCAGGATCTTCAGACTCGTCATCTCCTTCTTCTTCCTACAAAGAGATAACATTTTTTCAGAATTGAAGAAACTTATGTTAAATTAAGAAGCACATTTTTTTTTACCCTAATATAAATTTAATCAAAAATATAAATTAACTCTTCACCTTGCGAAGAAGGAAAAAAACAAAACAAAACAACAACAACAAAGATGTACCAGCAGAGAGACAATTTGTGCTTCCTTCATAGTTGACCAAAACAAAAAAATAATTCTAATCTATAATACAAATATTGAAAGTATCATAACTACCAAAGCTGGATTCTCACCCAAACATAGAATGATTTGACAACTAATATTAAAACAGACCTATTTTCAAATATTGTTGGTTCAAAGTGGTACCAGAGAGAGCAAATTAGATAACACCCCTCAACTCAAATAATATGAATGACATCCTAATGAGTTTAACATTTTTAGTGTGAGTGCCATTTTCTTAGAAGTTAAAATTTTCAAACATTCGCCCCATTATTTCGGAAACTATTCAAGATATCTGCCTGGAATTTTCAGTGATGATAAACCATTTATACTAACGACTTTGATGCTCAATCATGAGTATTATTTCTCTAGTCCATGCGTTAGGATTCCTTTTTGCAAAACTTGGGGGAGAATTATAAATCACTTCAGAATAGAGATAAAAGCTTAATTAAGGATCAGCAAACTCTTCATGCATCACATAATAAGTAGTGCTTAGTAGGTGCTTATTATGCGATGCTTCTTCGTAAAATGAATTCTGTAGTTCCTGAGAAAATGGGTCACAAAGTTGCTTGTTTGAACATTGATGAGATACGGCCTACTGTCTGACCATAAAGATAAGGATAGAAAATAATACGTCTTCTGCTATGTTCATATTAAAATGCATATAATATTTTTAATTTTGCAAGCGAGTGTAAATTCAGGAAAATTTGTAAATAAGTTATACCTTAGTCAGGTTTCAAAACATTATCAATTGTGTTATTGGGTGGTATATGGGATGGACTTATTAAGTCCATCCCATATACTTTAGTAATAGCTTCCGTCATCATTTTATGTTTATTACTATTCATACACTATTTAATGCTCCTCGACCTATGTTGCTTAAACTGAAGGTTTTTAGGTAAATATTAAATAGAGCAGAGTAAATGACTTTGTTTACTTTTCTTATCCACAGCTTGAAGTCCGGATCATTCACCCAATCAATTTGAAGTATTATAAGTTTATTTTACATAATGCATATTTTTAATTTAGTATAACATGCAAAACAGACGGTGCAACTGAAAGGGGGATTTCATTTCGAAAAAAATTAAATTTAAGAATTAAATTACAATTTGCATACAAAACTATGAACTTTGTTTTGTAACTTTTACCAAATAATAGAGAAACTTAAGGAATGCACTAATAGTAAACCATTAAATCAATAGGTTGTGGGATATCAATTTCAGTGCGATTATGTTCACCTAAAACGATTGTTTAAAAATTTACTCATAATGAGAAACAACAAAATATATCCAAAAATAAAATTGTTCATCATATTAAAGATAAGTTTAATTATTTGAATAAACAAACATACAAATATTCTTACTTACCCAATGCTTCTGTTTTCAGTTGCGAATAATTTCAAATTGGCTTACGAGTCAACAAAAACTTTTGAAAGATGCAAATAACGTTACAGATCATAGGTTATGTTTTCAGAATATTCACGGTAATTCAAAAGGAACAAACAATAGACCACCAGTTGATACACAGTTCCTAATTTAAATGTCAATTTAAAAACCCACAATTTGAATTTATATTTTCTTTTTCAAATTATAATTTGAAACAATAACACAATTTTCTCCCAATAATAATTAGAATTCAATGGCAATTCCCTGACATTTCCAGATATTCCAGGTTGCTAGAAACCCTGTCCGTACATGGACAATAAAAGCCCTTTAAAATGCTGTACAACATTAATTAAAGATCCATTTTTGAGGAACACATTTCATTCCCATATTAGTCTTTCTTCCAATCCCTTTCCCTGATACTGATGTACACTGTTCATTCTAACACAATACACACTGTTGTCCTGCTCTAAGCATTGATAAATTCTCTGTTCCTATTCACACTTACCAAAATTCTCTCTCAAATTGCTACATTTACTAATATTTATAAACTTGTTGACGGTGTCATTGATGATGCTTTAAACAAACTTTCATATGATAAAAATTTTTACAACACAAATTGTAAATAACAAGAAACATATATTTGGTTATCTGGATCTTTCATTCTCGGGCAGCGTAGGTAAAAAAAAATTCTTTAAGTATTAAAATTTTTAAAAATACCAAAAATTGAGAACCCAACCCTTCTTGTCCAATGTACTTTCAGGCTTCAGCCACTACCCACTCCAGAATACGGTGTATGCTCCCAGGAGTTGTTTTGAAGAGCATATTCTTTCAGAATTTTATCAGGAGGCATATTAAAGGAAATTTATACATTTGCAACCTCCTATTCTATAACATACTGCTCAATTCTAATAGATTTATATTAGAATATAATTTTGTAATTGAAATCATTCTACATAAGGGGATTATCCCATTAGCGCTATCCTATATGCTACACATAAAATTATCCTACCAAATTTTAGTTTCCTTACAAATCATCCAAGCCTTCCCTGCATACTGTAAACAGCAGCGTCCAGGTGATACAATTCTCTTTCAATCATTGCCAGGGTGTCAAGGGCCTCACATTTAGTTGTCATCACAGCTACATTTGGCAGTGACCAAAGTGGTTTGCACAGACAGATCAGCAAGATCGCAGCTTTATAAAACGCAAAAACATATTTTTGAAGAAAATTCTTTAATCTTCACAGTGGAACCGCCAACGAATAATCAGTTTCCCATTAGGACACCAAGATGTGTTGAATAATAACTCATTTGATAATAACTCCTATCTCTTAATTCCAAAAATTTCAAAACTCTGAACGAAAATAGTGTGTGCCATGTTATTTAGCAAATTACTCAATTTGGGCAAAAAAATTAAATTAAATTTACATCCATTTTCCAGAAAATTTTGTTTACGTATTTTTAAAATTGCCTTTATTTTACTCAAAATTTCATAGAAACTACTCATATCTTGAAACAATTCGGTATTGCATTACATAAGGTCTAATTTTGATTAATATATTTTTATTAAGAAAGAAATCCAGTTTCAAAAATGTAGTAGTTAAAAGAGGCCAAAAAATTATGGAAGAAATAAAAGTTTTGAGAATTCAAAGGCTTTAGTGAAAATTTGACCTGCCCTACTTTTATAAGAATGCATGGCTGTCACCAAGCAAGACATTAAAAATCCCCAAATTTGGAGCCATTTTTAAGAAAAGTTCAAACATCATTGTAGGGTTTGATGTAAAATACCAAAAATAATTTGTATCACCCAGATCGATTGGGAAATATAACTTGGTAAAAATCTTATGAACCAGACAGCATAACACACACAGAATAACTGGCCATTTGAATTCTCCTCCAAAACAGTGGTTAAATTTGACCTGACTACCTATCTAGTTTTGAAAATCTGCCAATGTTTGTCTTAAACTCTAGGACCTCCAAGTCAGAGTCACTGCAGAAAGAACGGCAAAGAGCTCTGAGCATTACTCAGCCATTGTTGAGTTAGAAATAGATATCTACCTTCAAATATTAATGATTTTTCTGATTGTACCCTTCTTTTGTATTTTTTATAGCAACTATTATAAAATTGCTTGAGAATGACAGAAATATAAACACATACATATCAATAGAAGAGAATAGAAGTAGTTATAGTTTTAAGTGGATTGATACAGTGTAGAACAGTGGACGAACTTAAAGGTTGTCCTACAGGGGACAAACTAGAAGGAATTTAAAATTACATATTAATGAACATGCAAATGATATCATTGATGATCCACACTGCCAAAATCCATTAACATAACTTTGAATTAATTATAGTCACAACATTGATTTGAAAAACAAAAATATTAAGCCATGAAAATACATAATATTATTTTCAAAAATATTAAATATATAATTAACTCGGTCAGCGTTGCTAGACTACACTGAGATTTATCCAACTCTGCCCCTGACAGGTATCAGCTGTTGATGGTTTCATCTAATCGGAATCATGAACGTCACCATAATGACATTGCTGTTTATTGGATGAAACTGTCAACAGCTAATACCTGCCAGGGGCAGAGTTGAATAAATCGCAGCATAATTTCTTAACTGCGCCCTCAAAAGTCATGGAGCTTTTGCATATTCGAGATTTCGCAGGTTACTGGTTGGGTGGCACTTTAGAAATACAGCACTAAGCCCCTGGCCAAAAGGGTAAAACTGACTGTTGATATGTGACTTCACAAAAATAAAAAAAACCTAATGGAGGATTACTTCAAAGTATGCGCTCAATGCCCAACAAGGGATTTGGAGATCCATACGTCAATGAAAGCAACAATCAAAAGAATACAATAAAAATAAATAAAATATGTAAAAAAATCAATTTATGACCTCATTAGTTGTAAAAAATTAGTTAACAAATATAACAACATTCTTTTACATGAAATAAAATAGTTTCCTTCATCATGCTTTCTTTCCTCCTCCCTTTAATCACTTCTATTTAGAGCATATTGTACCACAACAATGGTCACAGAAACAAATAAAAATATTGTACGCAGCAAAATAAAAGGTAAGCTTTGATCTTGTACTTTGTTCAACTCTATAGTAATTGTATGAAATATATTTAAATATTTGATATAAATTAACTGCAGCCCGACTGTGAGGACAAATTAGGTTCCTGAAATGTCGCTAATGCAAATATTTGAAAAATATAATTTTGTTTAGAATTGATTTTTCTTTTACAAAATTGTTTAAATAATGGGTTCATATATAATGGACTGAAAGAACAAAACCACAATCACAATAACATGATACAAACCATTTACTTACATTCATTTCCTTCGGGACAATAGTAAATTGGGAAGGAAGATGTTGAGTCATGGGTTGGCCATGGGTTGAGGAATAACTCAAAACTGTCTTGTTTTTGTCAGTGTACCACGATTTGTTACAATGCTCAGAATCACTTTTTGGCAAATTTTCCTTCCCTTTTTCAGCAAAACCTTCACCTTGCAAATTTGGTAAATTATTACGAATTGCTGAGCAACTCTTCTTATACTTTATAGCCACATTATTTTCACAAGTCATTAACGGAAAAGATTTTCCAGCATCTGAATTATTAGATTTCTCTCTATGTGCACCAATATTTTTCACAATAGAGAGTGATTTGCATGGTTTGTCATTGTATTCCAGGGTTTTGATGACAAGTTTTGGAGCTATGGCATCATCTTGGATGGAAGATGAAAGGGTTATAAGGTTTGGGAGCTTCTCATGTTCATTACAATTGTGCTGTTTCACAGAGGAAAAAAAATCACTCAAGAAAATAAAAAAAAATGAGTTCCAATACTGTGCAGACAAAAGAATGTATTCCTGAAGAGAAGGGATACTCACATCAAAACCAAAGCAATTCTGCATGTCCTTTTCAGTTTCAATACGTTTTCTAATAGCTAATGCATCTTTCTTGGACATTTTCCTTGACCTCTGGATAGTCTGAATCACTTCTTCATCATCAGAAAGGCCTAAAATCATATTTTATGAAAATTAGCGTCAATGACTCATACTGGCAAGGAGAAATACAAACATGTCAATCACCACAGGGGATGTTTTAACACTCAAGAGAAAGTATCAATGACTGTTTTCTACTCGAGTATCTGATTAAAGATGTCAACAGTTCAACTATTTTTTAATCTTTTAGATATTTACCAATTTATTTTTAGAAATGAAAGTAAAACAAATTTATATGAAAATGAACATACCTTCGTCATCGCTGTCAGCTGCTCTCAGAGTTACAGCACCCTGTTCAATTGCATGGGATGGATCTCCAGTAACCACAGCTACAGCTGGTTCACTTCCATCACCATCCTAAAAAATCAAATCATCCTTTCACCTCAAGTAAAAACAAAAATTTTCACGAAACACATACAAATTATGAATTCTTTATACTCTGTGCAGTGTCCATGAATTTCAGAAGAATAGCACTACAGGGACTCATTTCAATACATACCTTAATACTTCTACGCAGACCTATTCTTCCTTCCCCACCCTCTCTGAGCCTATGGGGGTTTGAGCAGTTTGAAAGCTCCTAGTACTCATCACAAGTTTTCCACTCTCATACTTTCCCATACTCTTTTGGAAGGGTAGACAGAAACCTAGTTGTAGTGAATGTGTTATGTCTATGGAAAGGTACCCCAAAATGCCCATGCCAAATGGAGAGCTAAACAGTGGCAGTCCTATCAAACTAAATCAGTGTAGCCCTTGAAAGACAGACACATTCATATTTAATTACCACTTGCTTCACAGGAACAAGAAGGCAACTTCTACTTTAAGACAAACTTGTCAGGGCAAGGATAATCAACATGAAATTGCAGAACATTTTAAAGTATTAACAATCAATACAAGAAGAATAGGTATTATTAAGGCAGAGCTATCTTCATTAGAGGAAAATACAAATTTTGGAAACAACAGAAACTAAGAAAAACCTTGAGGAGTCTCAAATATGGGGAGAAATATTATGACACAACTTGGAGTACTTTACAAAAACCAGTGTAACAATATTAAGAAACAAACTAGTGGTGATACAAAAGCATATACCATCTCACATTATATGTAAATTTTGGAATTTTTCCAAAAATAAGAGTTAAATAAAAATGGAACTGTGCATTTTCGAAAACTTTACTTTGCTTTATTCAAAGTGGGAAAGAAAAAATTTGCATTCATTCTTCTATCCACGGAAAAAAATTAAAAAATTTAGAGAAAAGAAAAAAAATATTTTTTTTACATTAAATTTTTTTATTGCATATATTTCACGCCAAAACAAAAACTATAACTAAAAAAATTGAACGTGAATTTATTTAAAGTTCCTTTAAGAAACGGATTTGATTAAGGGAAAAATCTCTATCATCAATATTATAGTTGTAGGAAGACACTGAAAACAATTGCACCTTCGCAATTTTCAAAAAATCTGGGATTTTAGCGAACACAAAACCCACACCATTCTCTTAAGCATTCTTTACACCATCCGGTTCAAAGTGGGATCAAAAAAATTTGGAGGCATTTTTGAGAAAACTTTGAAAATAATTTGACACTTCATGTTAAGTACCCTCAAACATCAAAAAACCTGTTTGAATTTCCCACAGCCGAGTTCATTCAGATCAATTGGGGAATATCAATTTTGACGAAATTCAGCTGAACAGTTTAGATGCTAGCATGGCCCGCAGATGGACAGACTGATCCAGCTGTTAATTGATGGAATTTGGTATCAAGGATCCACAAAACATAGATTCTAACTACACCATGTGTTGGAGGATATTTCTTTCTAAATTTAGCATCAGGATTTTCCACTTATCATTACTAAGGCCTGGCACAAAGAGATTTTCTGCCGAAAATTCGCCGTTTTCGACACTTCTTATAAAGTCCCATTGAAAGTGCAAGAAGATAAAAATTCTCTGTCATCAATATTAGCCTTTTAATTTCTGAATTTTTCTTTTCTGTAACACTGAGTCCACTGAAAATGGAAGCATTTAATAAGTGTACTACACTGTATTTGAGAAAAATATTAAAGACAAAATTTGGAGCCAATTTTCAGAAAATCATGCCCCATATTTCATGCAAAATTACACATACCACTCTTTTTTCAAAAAAACTATACATGACCTTATTTGCATATTTATCTTTGAAGAACAGATTTCATCAAGAAAAAATATCTATCTTGAATATTGTTGCTGTATTATTGATGCTGAAAATATTTTGAACTTAGTTATTTTCGAAAATTCAACAAGAGTTCAACAAAAATGAGACCTCTGCCATTGTTTTAAGGGTCCTTCACAGTTTTCAAATGGAAATTAAATTAAAATTTGAAGCAATTTTTAAGAAAATTTGGAAAATGTTGAAGCTTCATTTAAGTACCCTCAAAAATCAAAATATCCTTTTCAAACTCTCAGTACATGGAGATCAGCCATATCGATGAGAAATATCAATTATAAACAAAATTGTCTGAACAGCATTTTTTACTTTCTTTCTCATAAGAAGGTACATCTTATATTTGTAATCAAGCACAGGGGGAAAAAAAGGGTAGAAAAACTTTTCTTATAGGGCCCTGGCAACCACAATTTGGATACATCCAGTTGCTAAAATTAGAAAGAAAGAAAAATCCTCTGACACATGGAGTAGCCAGAATTCATGTTCTGTGGGTTCTCGATACCAAAAGTCGATTGACAGCAAAACGCCTGTCTGTCAGTCCATCTGTGAACAACACTAGCGGCTAAACCTTAAGCCAAGTTCCACTGATATTCCCCATTCAATCTAGCCGAGGTGACGGCCCCTCGACTTTGAAACCGATATTTTAATTTTGGAGGAAACTTTACATGATGCCCCAGGGACATTTTCAAAAAAAATGGTGCAATTGATTTTGATGAATTTCTGTTGTTGGGTAGTCTGAAGGACGTTTAAGAAAACGATGCACCATTTCCTGCATGAGACCTGCAGGTCTCATATTGGTTGAAAACCCCGATTTTTCGAAACTTTGAAAGTATTTCTAATTTTAAAATTATGTTAAATGTGAAAACCAATAGATGATTTCATTTTGCTTAATAAGATGTGGAAATGAAAAGTAATGCATGTAAAAATAGAGGATTTTTTTAATTTTGATGAATATAAAAATATTATATTTTTCTATTCATTTTTCATTTTCTTGCTAGCGGTGTCAACATGGCTAATTGGCAAAATGTGTATCTCATACATATTAGTGTGATCATCATTGCTTGTAACCCATTGTAGTAATACCGCACTCATAACAGAAGGTGAAAATGACTGCTGCGTTTTCTTTTGCGTTACCATAAACTGAATTTTTCTTAAGACTAAAATATACACTGTGCATCGTTGGTACGTTTATGTAGAACATCAATACACTGAAATCAATGATAGAAAGTTGTTTTTCTTTAAAAGTTTGAATTTAAAAAAATGTATGTATTTTTTACAATATATGTATTATTCAGAATTCTTCAAATGATTGTTGAACTGCAGAACAGAAATTGCTGTATTATAATATTACATAGCCATTAACACTATCACGAGAAAGTGCCTGCCGTTGTAGTTTCATTTTACTTTTTTGCAAACTGCACATACGCATTAACCTGGGATCCAACTGATAATGCATTAAGGACACGTCAATCCATAGCATGGAGCCAACCAGATTACAAAATATCACACCAATGATTTTTTTTTTCTCTTCACATAGCTTAATTAATTTAAGATTCTCTCTTTACTGGCCTGTTAGGAAATGTCCCCCAGCATATTTGAAATGTTTACGAGAACACAACTACTAAAATAATGCACAAATAATGATAGACTGATGAGGTATTTATCATCTTCATAGCATATAGTTATGTAAGCATCCAAGGTTTTTAACATGAAATGGTAATATAAAAATGCAGATTCCAACCGACTTGACTTAACTGGAGAATATAAGATGGTCCTGTTTCTTCCCAATTAGATATTTAGGAAAAATCTCTTACTTTTGGGTAAATAGGGAATATAAGTTTCTATCAAAATGTCACACACACAGACACCCACATACACATATAAAAGCAAGATTTTCTCAAAAATAGCTCCAAATTATTTCTTTTGCTCCGATTCGACCACAAATTACTACTCATTGTTTCAACATCAACAAAAATTAGGGTGACATTAATTAAAGATCTAATTATGTACAAATTTCATTAAAAAAATATTTTTATCCAATAAAGGGACCCAAAAAAATTTCAACTGATATTTTATAACAAATAGATTTAGATATTTTTTTTAAAATCCCTTTTGAAGATATTCCAGAGGTTTTAAGAGAAGTAATCCATATAATTAAAAGATCAAATTTGAAGGGTCTCAAGCCAGACCAGTCTATTGGGAAGTATTCATTTAGGAGAAAAAACCTACGTACAAGTTACATGTCAGTAGTTTCCAGACCAAACAACTGTGGATTTTGAAACAAAGCACGATAATTTAGACAATTTTGGTGTCAGGTATCCTAAACTGTGTATATTTATTAAAATCTGGACTCAGCTTTTCTGCAGTAACACTACTTTCTATGTATTAAGGTACTAAGTGTATGACACAGTAAAAAAAAGTTCATAACAAATTCTGTCCACTTGTACAACAGCATTTACTGATCCTTTAGGAGTTATTAAATCTGTGCACTCACGTTACACTCCCTCACATATAATAATTTATAAACTTTACCTGTAGCTGAATTACTTCAAGAACAACATACTGTTGCCCATCATTTCCTTCAACTGCCATCATATCACCATCTGTGTCTTCCTCATCTTCATCATCATCTTGCCCAGCCATTACCTCTACTTGTTGGCCATCTATGATCTGTACAAAAAATTGTTCATTCATTTTAAATATTACTTCCATTTAGACAAAAATAAGAAAAATCATTTCTTATTCTTCATCAACTCATTTCTTTCAAAATACCTGTATTTTCTTTTGTCTTCCCAGTTTCAAAGCTAATGCTTTCTCTTGGGCAGAAGAATCTGGATCATGGACTGCCATATGCCTTATTAAATTCCCCTTATGTCGAAACGCACGACCACATTCTGGACATTCATGAGTTTTCTCTTGGGGAGGGGGAGGTACATAGTTAGGATTGTGGTATAAATTCTGATGTCTTCTAAGAAGTTGCTTTTGTCGGAATGACTGAAAGGAAAATAATGCAAAAATACAAAAGCTTGCCTTCGATAATGAAATACATATTTTTCTCAAAAAGGGGAAATAAATTTACCTGATCACACTGATCACATTGATATGGTTTTTGATCCGTGTGTATTAGCATGTGAGACTCCAAATGCCTTTGAGATATGGAAGCATATGGACAAAGATCACATTTAAAACATTTCTCACCTTCATGAGATTTGTTATGAATCTGAAATTACAAAAGTATAAGATAAGCAAAAGCAAAGTTAATTTTCAATTTACATGATTCTGCAATAGTCACCTACTTTATAAGTGTATCTATCAGGAAAGGATTTTCCACAACGTTTACATTTCAGAGGCTTGTCCGATGTATGTAACTTTTGCACATGAATACGTAAATCTGTTTTACGACCACAAGTTGTAGGACAAAGTTCACATTGAAATACTGGCTTATCTCCCGCTAAAGATAAAAACAAAATACAGCATTAAAAATACATTCTCCTTCACTCAATATCAATAATATGTCTTAATTTATACAACTACTTACCACTATGAATCAACTTGTGAGCCTTCAAACTATTTGACTGTGTAAAACGAGCATGGCAAATGTCACACTCATATGGCTTCTCACCCGTGTGTATCCGCAAGTGACGTTTCAATTTGAATGTATCTGGACTGGCATATGTGCAGTGTGGACACTGAGAAATAATTTATTAACAAACACAAATTACAGCATTAAAGACACCATTTCCCATAGAATACACTTGAGGTGTTAGAACAAATAAATTTGTATTTTTCATGGTCATTAATTACAAAAAATAAAAAAATTAAGACTACCTTTATTACACAATGGAGCATTACTCAGACACACAATAATTAATTTGTTCTTGCACATATGTTTGTTAGAAACAAAGAACCATCGAAAATGTAATTAAATTTCTTGTTTTCTATGAATCTAATGACCAGTTTTGTTCAGATCTTCAAGTTTTGATCTCCATTCTTATAAGAAGAAAGGACACCAAAAGTAAGAAATGAAATCCTCTAGAAAAATTTAAATTTTATGTGCAGTTGTAATTGCATTACTCCTTAATTATAAATAATTTATCTCCAATAAATAATGAACTGTTAATGAAAGAACAAATCAATGAATGTTCAAATAAAATATCCTCTTATTTCACTTTCAAAAGTTACATTTGAACATACAAAACTCAGAAGTACAATATTCCAAGACAAATTTCACAAATGCAGAAGGGTAATACTCCATAATAAAAGGTTATCTATCCCTCTACACTGTAATCCCAAATTCAAAGATACTACTACAAATAAAATAAATTAACTTGAGTGATTATTATACTTTAGGCATTTTTTAGTTTTAACATATGAAGAACCCACTTTAGTAACACACCGTTCAAGGAAACCCACCATGCCAATCCACCACAATGACAAAACCAGAGACCAAAGAGAACTTCCCAGTTTTGAATCACCAGAGCATGCTTTTCCAGAAGAATACCTACAAAACCTAATGGCTCATGCAAAGAAATTTACAATGAGCTAATTATTAGAAAAATTTGCAAATAAGTCATGAATAATGTACATAGAAAGGAGTAGCATAGTTTGTCAGTATTCTTTTTTTTTCTTTTCAAAATGCGAACTTAAATTAATTATTACAAAACAATGAAAATTAAAGACCAGACTACCAGTGGTGCAGCAAGACCTAATTAAAATTACCACTTTAAATTGATGAGGAAAGCCTTGTACCTAAGTAAGCATTTCACCAAGACCGCCAGGTAAAATTCAATTTTGAGAAAAGTAACAATACTCTGAATTGCTCACCTGGTACGGCCTCTCACCAGTATGGCACCTCATATGATTCCTCATTTTGCTGAGTTCCACACTGGCGTAGTCACAAATAGAACATTTGTGGGGTTTCTCGTGAGTGTGTTTGTACCGAACGTGTCTTACAAGTTCACCTGCGGAAGATAACACAAAAAAAGGGTTGGCTCACCTGATATGGTCTCTCGCCAGTGTGACATCGCATGTGACGCTTCAATTTACTCAATTCCACGCTTGCGTAATCACACTCAGAACATTTATGTGGTTTCTCGTGTGTATGTCTGTACCGAACATGTCTTACAAGTTCACCTGCGGAAGACACCAAGGGCAACAGTTTACACAATAACTTGCGGTCAACCCTTGTTCAATATACCACCAATATATAAAGAAAATAGTGAATTTTCTTTTGCGGTGAATGAAACTTACTCATTTGGGAAGGTCATCCATAACCAAAAGAATGTATCTTCAATAAATAATAAAATACTGAAATTATTTCAAATTACAATTTGCAACAAAGGCATAAAATTTTTTTCACAAAGGCAAATCAATAAAAATAATTTTAAACTTTAACTCTACTAACCCAACATTTCTCACTGGAGGTATATCAATACCTGCACAACTGTAGGGTTGACCGTGTGTTAACTCTTTCCGATTTCAAGTAGACATTCGGTACAACACACATGCAATAATGCTGCACAGTCAAATGGAAGTTTGGCAAATGAAAAGACACTAAGATATTTTTAGCTTCTGACTTTATTACAAATAAGGTGTGTATGATAGAAAATAAAACACACCTGGATTGTTGAACACTTACGTTCCAAAGTCCACTTGAGCATATGCAACACTTCTACGAAAATTTTTAAAATGTCAATCTAGAATTAATGAGGCCCAGGAATTCTGATACACTCCGTATTTACTCGCATACATTTTGCCCTTGGGTACATGCAATGGATTATATTTTGAATATTGTAAGACTTAACACACGCGATTCTTTATCTAGCATTTCATTAATGACAAACAAACGCTAATTTTATACATGCAATGTCCATAAAACAACCACATTTCATGTTTATTAACAAACAGAGTTCCATAACAAGTGAGCCATTTTAAGTTTGTCGTGCCATGGGCACTATTCTACAAAACAGTGCAGATGTTTAACATTTAAGCACATCATATAGAACTGACTTTCAATACAAGTTATGATATTGAGAAGCAGCGTAGAACAACAGACATAATGTATTCAGCAACAGCAAAATTCAGGGAAATTTCTTTGCGCCTGGAAACGTAAATCCAATGATGTATTATCCACCATCATCCTACAATATAGAAGAAAAAAAAAAGTCAAACATACACGAGTAAATACGGTATTCATTTGTTCTATTTCCCAGCACCAGAATTTCCGTGCCAGGATTCTATAAATACAAAAACAATTTTAAACCCATTGAATAATAATATCACAATATTTGTAGGCCCATACACAGAACATTCCATCAAATATTTACATTTCACCCACAACATAACAATTATGTTTATGCAAAATCTTGGCACGTAAAGTGCCTAAAAAAAGTGACCATAAAGCAAACAATAAATCAAAAATAATACAAACTGTAAAATCCCTGTGATGCTTGGGTTTTAAGTACATTTAATTAAAAAAGTCCCCAAACACAAATTAAAACTGTTATGCAAAAAAGTCAAGCAGACAAAAAGTGACTAAACCAACATTACAAACATTTCTTGCAAATTATCACACATTCACCAACAGAATACTTCTACTGCAAAATAAAACAAAACAACAGTTAAATCTAAAAACTGGCATTAGAACACAAAATACACAGTGAACAAAAAATAAAATTAGTAAAAATGCCAACCACATAAATGCAAATCATTTAAAATAAAGTCCATCAATTTACAGAAACCATTCAAACATTAAAAGTAAGAGAAATGCAAGCAAGTTTACCTGAAGTCGTAAACGCACTGTCACAAAATTTGCACCGATGCGGTTTTGTTCCTGTGTGTGTGTTAACATGATTTTGAAGTGAAGCCAAGGTTTTGAAGCCTCTCTCACACACACTGCATTTATGTGGGCGTTCTTCAGAATGAGATTTCATGTGGCGCGAGAGTAAATACCTAAAAAATTCAATTTATGAGAAGGTATACAAATTATCCCCAAAATCGGGAAGAGGGACAGAAATCAAATAAGATTTATCATAAAATATTATTAAGTAATACTGTGACTAAACAGTAGTAAGATAATGGGAAAGAGGGATAATGGGATGAGTTTATTCCAAACTATTTGTAAATATTTGCTAGAATTTATTTACAATTTATCCATTGTTTTACCAATATCTACTCAGGTTAAATAACTGAAATATCTCAAAATTGACAACAAGGGTATCATTTAAAGACAGAAAACTGAAACGAAATGTAATTTCAGAGAAAACAATCAAACATAAATCATGAGAATTTAGATATGCTAATATAATACTAATGTTATACATGGAATCATGTACGAATGCCATATTCTTTAATGTTTAAAGATTTTTTTCTTTATTCCGTGCACATTCTTTTTGCAACAGTTATCCTAGATTGGGCATTGCAGCCTTCCAATGCGAGGAAAGGAAATGAGGCTATAAGCATCACTGGCCAGCTTTATGTGCCTCCACATGACATTGCATCATGTCGCTGAAGACAAAACCTCATGACTTCTACGTATGGAGACCTCCAAAAACAGATGAGAGGTAAAAGTTATCCAAATATGACACTTTACACTGAAACATTACAATTTTTCTTCCTAAAATTATTTCAGTCAATTTAGGAAAATGGAGGGAAAATAACAATGTATTGACATTATTAGATGAAAATTCATGACTACAACAGAATAAATTGAAAATCATAAGTTTCTCTAATAATGATGTTAAATGTGTACAGAAACCCTACCTTTTTAAACTACAAAAGGAAACTGCAAAACTATCCTAGTCTTTGTAAGGTATCACCTTTATTATTAAAACAATATCTTAAATATTTCAAACACTAATTTCATAATTTAAATTCACCATACTTGGCTAACATCAATAAATCACTTTAATATTCATTTCCCACATGTATTGTGAGAGAAAATTAAAGCCAAGCCAACATAACTTATAAGATCTTTGCATCCTCAATTTTACTTCCATGTACACTAAGGAAATGAAGAATGCCATAATAACACTGCAGAGGGCAGCTATTGCAATCAACCAGCACTTAAATTTGAAAAGTATTATTACAAAATTAATACATTAAAAGTTAATACTTAAATTAAACAAAATATCAAAACCTAATTCAAATTATAAGCATTCTCACCTCTTTGGACTAGTGTAATTACAATAATTACACATATGAGCTTGTGTGACTGTCTGAGATTTCTTGGGCAAAATCTTGATAATTTTTGTCTTGTCATCTTCATCACCAGACTCCTAACATAAAAGTAACATTTAATGATAGGAAAGTAACATATGGTGACCTAAAAATTTGTTTACACTACTTAATTTTCAAAATGAATCCTAATGATTAAAACATATCATACTTATATTTATTTCATTTTAACAATATAATCAATGTGACTATCCATATGCTGAAACTATAAATAGAGCAAAAAAGAAACTCACCATAGCAATTCCTCCCTCTTCACCTTCATCAAAGTCATAAACAGTTAAGTCCTGATCTTCTCCTTTTTCATCTTTGTCATCTGTAGGCTGGACTATTAATACGTAACTAACTTCTCCAGGATTTGTATCTGATGGAACTATTGTTACTGCCTGATATGCATCAGAAGCATTCAAGATCATTCCTGAACCCTCTTGACCACTTGCTGCGCCCTATTCAATTAATTATCAATAAAAACACTCATCTACAAATCCATATTTCAGTTGCAAGCCAATGTGAAAACAAGATAAATAATTGAAGAAAAACATTTGAAACCCTAAAAACCAACCTCTTCAGAACTTTCAATTGTCATTGCTTCTTCCACTTGTTGTCCTTCCTGAGGTTGCATGGCAACGTATGTTGTTTCTGATGATCCCTCTGTTCCTTCCCCACTGGGATCTGGTAAACCTATATAAACAAGACAACATAGTTAAAATTCTTCACCAAAATTATGTAACTGGTATGAAAAGAAATAAGAAGACAAATAAGAAGAAAGGGGGGGGGGGGTTAGAAGATACTCACTTGACACTACAGTCATTACTGAAGGTTGATCTGAAGTTGTTGCTTGATAGTAGTATCGTCCAGATTGGTCTACAAAATATGTCCCTTCTTCACCATTTTCTTCAGCAGCTACAACTTGCTGCACTTCTAAATGGTAGAATATGAGAAAGATTATACTACAGGCTAACAATTCACTTACAGAATATAATATTTTAAATATTTTCACATTATGAACATACCTGTCACGTGTACGGTCTGGTCTCCTCCTTCAATCTCTTTATTGAAGGTTTCCAAATAGTTTTGTATGTCAGTAATCGTTTCTGTGCCTTCATGATTTTCCATTTTAATCTGCACACCCGAGTGGGCTGGAAAAAGAAAGCTTATTGAAACAAAATTCAAAGAGCAGTTGTACGTTCATGAATTAAGAGAAATAGGAAGTTCTTACCAGATTTCTTTGCCTTATCATTGCTCATGATTAAAGAGAATGTTCATCCCTGAAAACCACAAAAACAATATATGAAATCATAAATAATTTACAGAACCCTCACAGTTGTTTACATGCATATTCATCTAACAACCAAATCCAACCAGCAGCTAGTAATTTTGTAAATGTAATTCTCAATATTGACAAACAAAAGTAAATTACACTTACAGATCAAACAGTTAAAACAATTATTTCAGAAGGATATCCACAACTTCCACGTCACTCTCACTCAATGTAATGAAAGGAACCGTAACACTTTAAAGATTTAAAGTAGTGTACTAGTGTACTTGGACGTTTGTGATGCAGAAACATCACATCAATATATTTGTAAACACATCGTTCTCATTTCAGTTAATAATTAAAGTTTCAAAAAACCGCAGTCTAACCTCCAATTAATATCCATACAATCGAGTGCTGACACAAAAAAGTCGATATAATTGTGGATACATATAACCCAGTTAAAATAAATATTTGGCAGCCATTTTGTAATATAACGAGGAAATAGGAAATTCCTATATTAAATGAAACTGAATTATTTTCGATTTAACCCTATTCAACTTATTATCCAGTCAAAATAATTAATATAGAACAAAGAAACAATAAAGGTTGTGATAATTGCTTCCCAACCGCCAAAACATATTCTTAAGAATAACGCCATGATCATGCAATCAGGCACTTTGATGGATCGAACATCTCTTATAAAGGTCATAACTCAATTTGGTCATTCAATTAATTTTCAGAAAATCCCAAGCTGCCTTAACAATACGCAATCTACCGGGGCAATTCTCACACTGATTCCTACTTACGATTTTGGGATACAGGGGGCATTAACGGCAAAAATTGCTCCAAATTGGCACTGTTGGCGCTGTCGGCAACATGGAGTCGTGATGAGACTGCCTCTTCGTCGAACCGAGAGTTTTCTTCTCAGAATGCCACTTAATACTCGCACTAAGCACTTCACACTTTTACGCCACGACCAATTGCTGCACTGTTGAATGTTTTGATCGATAAACTAATCACAACAGAAACAACGTACTTATAAAGAATGCGATGTAACGTACCTGTAACTCCAGATTTCGCGTGTGAGGGCGTTGTTCCAGAACAAGACGACAATATGGCGCCTAGAATAGTACGGGCCTGCGCAAAGGAGCATGGGGACGGTGGAGATTGTTTGTCTGGTTTCGAGCGGCAGCGTATTACACAGTAAGCGGAGGATTAGTTTTAATGTTTTAATCCGAATCAATTTTACCTTTTTTATTTATCTGCCTCTGCCCTTTCGATTCCAATCTTACTGTTTTCAACAGATTACCAACTAAATGAATCGCTCCATCAGTCCTTAAATACAGGCGTGCCAATGCATTGTTTTAATATTTAACTCGACACCGGTCGACATGTTATGCGTTATTTCCATTATTTATTTCACCCTATTTCGAGAGAAGTGAAAAATTATACATAACCTATTGTTCGATAATATCTCTTCTATCTTTATGAAGTGCTCATTCTAGAAACCAAAAGTAGTGGTTTCTCGTTTCACAGATCTGCGTGATCTCTCACTCGTAAAATTTGGACGTATGTGGGGTTAAATCTGAAATAAATAACAAGGAAAGATGCGAGGGTAAACATGTATTTCATAAACACTAATAGTAGAGTCCACATGATCTATCACATTTCGTTTTATAGCAGATTGCATGACGCTAATACTGTTACCAATTGTAATTTTAAATCAATTCTTCATTATTTTCACTGTTCACCTTTTATTAAGGCTCGTATCTCAGTTAACTATCATGACATAACTGCAGACCTTCATTACTTTACATATATACATAACTATACAAATAAAAATAAAATATTTTTACAATAAATGTGCAGTTAAGCCTTATACATAACTCACATACAGTAGCAAAACTTTATAACAAAATTCTACAAAAATACGAAAAATCTGTTTCCTTATTCATATTCAAAAAAACAATGTAGGATATTTATACAGAAAAATATCAGTGTTATACAGAACAAGTATACAAGTAGATACTGTAAAGGTTACTGTAGTTGACAGTTCCACTCTTAAGAGCATGAAACTACTTTAATTGCTTCACATTACAAAAAGTGAGATATAGGGAATTTTTTTAGTTCTAATAAAAATTCCCACCTGGGACCAATTGAAAAAACCTTAGTTAAAATATTTCCTTTTACCAAATTGTATTCACTGTAACCCATTCCCAATAAAATTACAACCCACAAGAAAATTTTGCCCACAATTCCCATGTTAGTGTCACCCCCTTAACCAGTGTTCCAATGAACTAGATATACCATTTTAAGTTACAAATTTGTTTCACGACAAAAAGACCTTATTTTCCATTACTCTACTGAAGTCTTTTTCAGTTTTAGTAAAAAGATTGGAAGCTCACATATAAAAAGAAGCAAAATAAGGCAAGATACACATTTGTTTGCTTATAAAAATAGTGCCTGTTTGTAACATTCACACTATCTGAACAGTATTTTCCATAGATGGTAAAATAAGAATTATATAACCATACTCTCACTTCTATATTTAATAACTTCAACATTTACCCTGCAAAGCATGTTTCTCCAGAAGAATGTCTTTGTGAAAAGAAAACGGCAAGAATGAACCCCAAAAGGACAATACCAATAGTAAGCCACTGAAGCTTTTGAGTGAATCTCAGATCTGCACACAACTTCTCGTGATGATCTCTCAGCTGGGACACCTGCATGTAATACAAAAAAAGTCAGTAACTTGTTTGAACAAGTCAGTCCAAGAAATATCTCTTAAAACTTTATGCAACAAAATTGTAAATCACATAAGCACATCAAGAACTAGAGTAACATTTTTTCCCCCTGAATAATTTATTTTTGAAATCTAATTACTTTCTTTTTTAGAAAAAAACATCATAGTGAATAGTTTCCAGTGAAAAAGAAACAATTTTTATTTTGCTTCTGAATAATATTTCTGAGATTGATGTTTTAACACACTACAATTTGAATACTCACTCCAGATGCGATTTGACGTATCTGTTGCTCCAAATCCATAGAAGTTGTTGTTGAAAATGCAGTTCCATTTTTCAGAGCTGATTCAGGTGTGGCTGATCCCAGATTGCATTTTAGTCTGTGATGACCTACATTCTTTCCAGAAGTTTGCTTTAAAAACAATAATAAAAAAGAATTAGATTAAAATCATAATTAATAGAACCAATATAATTTCATGATTTTTTTATGCAAGTTCCAACTGAAAAAAGCAACTGAATGTGTACTGATAGTAATCCTTTCTGAAGACCAGCAGAAGTTAGTTTGAAATGGATTTCAATTTTAGAATAAAAAAACATGCTGTAAGTACATAATTTTTAATTTTTCCTCTGAAATTTAAACCTCATTAGTAAAAGGCTCTCTAATCAAATAATAACCACGATTCTTTCACTTCCTCATTCAGCCGCAGACCCATTTGTATATCTCCATGCTATTTATCTTATCCTCATGATTACATAATATTTAGTTCTTGGTGCCATAGTTTAAACAGCTATTTTTGTACTTGATGGTTTTGTATTAGATATCTCAATAATATATGGAGCTTTTTCTTTACGTTTTTTGCATCACTATTCTGATTACTGGACCCTTTAGCACAGCTTTTTTACTACACTTCAAGGATCAAACCTGACTTGCTTATTATTGGGGGCTACTGTCTATCACAAACAATCAATTTTATCAATATTCATGGAAATTGATTTTGTGAATTGGATTGTTGAATTTATTAGCTTATTTGATTTTAAATTCTTTACCTTTATTTAAAGAGATGGAGTTATTAATTTTATGAATTGTTTATTATTTAAACTAGTCAGCTAAGTTTATATCTGAGCAGTTTATTTGTTGGCTGAGCTTTAAAAATTACCTAATCTTATCTTTTAAGTAATAAAAATGTGGGTGATGATCGTTCCACATTCATATGGCTCTGATAAGACACACACACACACATGGGATTCTATTTCTTCCCGAGTTAATAAAAACTTATTTGCATCGATAAACAAACTGCATATTTTAATTATTTTTGTAGATTTTAAAAACTTTTTGAAATGAGTTAATTTGAACATAAATTTTGGTATTATAATTTTATGTAACAATTAATGATGTGAGAAAGTACATGCTATTGCAAACCACTAGTTTTCAAAAAATTCCACTTCTTCTTCTTCTTTAAGGATAATTTTTTTTTACAATAGATTTTATTAAGAAAAAATTCTCAATCATAAATATGCGCTTTTGCTGTGTTTATTTTTTGCAATTTTTGAAAATCTAAGAGTTCATAGAAAATGGGACCTGAGCCCTTTTTAGCCTTTGCCACATTGCAGGGAAAAATTTGAAGCCATTATTGAAAAAATAAGTTTAGTAATTGTCTATACTTCATGTAAAATTACTTATTTAATGATCTGTCTTTAAAGAACACAATTCATTAAAGAAAAATGCATCTTCAACGCTATAGTTTCAGAAAGACACACACACACACACACAAAAAGTTTTGAAAAATCTACGATCAAGGAAATTAGATCTGCATCATTGTTTAAGCACCCTTTGCTTTATCTGCAGATAAAGTTGAATAAAAAATGAAGTATTTGAGAAAATTTTAGAAAATGTTAATGCTTCATGTACAGTAAAGAGTAAAGTGGCGTAATAAGAGTGGGGGCACATGCTCTACGTGCCCATTTAGTGGGGTGCTTTTTTGTCCAGCAAAGATAATTGAAGTGATGTATATTTTATTTTATTGCAATTTATAGGCGTATTAAAAGTTGTCTGTGGGTCTGTGATACTGAAAACATGATTAATTCTTGCTTCTACTTGCAGTAAAATACTTCCTCTAATACATTGTGAAGTTAGAATCCACTTGTGTGAGTTCTTGATCTCGAAAAAATTGCATTACGGCAAAGCGCCTTGCCTGTCCATTTGTTGACAACACTGCTCGTACAGACAGAAAACTTTCATATTGTGGGTCCCTGTCCCCCACAGAAACAAGATTTATCAATTTTTCCTGCCTCATAAATTAGTTCCTTTAACACGCTATGTAGTTAGAATCCATGTTCTGTGAGTCATTTATACCAAAAAATTGGTTGTCGGCAAGACGTCTACTTGTGGACAACTCCACTGCCGCAGGCTTATTTTCTTGTCGTGCTCGTCCATATTACTATTTTTTTATGCACAGAGAACTTGAAAGAAAACTGTGCATTTTCTAGTCAATGAGAATTGTCAAAGGTTTCTGGCAGATATACAGGATCTTGAGAAAAATCAATAACAATGAAACAGTTGATTGTGACAGAAAATACAAATATCTGATTGGGTCATTCAGTCTATTCGCATACTCAGTGAATCACTGGCTATGACTACTGAAGTCTTGCAACAGCAATTTTCCAAGGAAGAGGCAAAGAATCCTATTAAATACTTGCTATTATGTGTTGCAAATGGGACAGCAATTTCTTGGTAAGTAGAAGAATTGTTGTACTGACTACCAGTATAATATATGTACAATACAATGTTTTTGCTATATTCATGAAGCTCGTTTCTGTTAAAAATATTTAATTTGTTGCAGCATTGTATGAGAGATTTTATTTATTGTCCTTGAGCAGTGTACATGCTACATAGTGGAGAATCATTTTGTGTGGTTTTGTTCAGTTGCATTTTCGTTGCTGAATAAACTGCTGTAGCTTCAAGAGCAAAGGTGTAAGGTCAAGTTTAACTAATCCAATTTTTTAAATGTCAGATGTTCTAACAAAAATTAGACTTATTGTATGTTTATATGAGCCCTTTCCTCCATTTGAGCAAAAGTTTTATGAAGAAGATTGGAAATATCCATTTCAATTTCATAAGGCCCTGAGTTGGGCAACATAGATTGGGAATATCAATTCTTGGGAAAACAACTAATTGTTCAAGGTCCCAGCACAGAGAGGGATGAATTGGTGAATGAATGAATGGAAGAAAGGACAGCTTGAAGTTTTGAAAAATACAGGGACAATTTTCTCTATGCAGTTAACATCATCTTATGTGAGAAAGTTGAAAAGGAAAAAATTCCTATTTGTGGGACATTTTCTCTAATTCAAAACAATCCAAAAGCACCAAATAATCCAATTCTAATACATGCAGACAATCATCACTTACTTTCCATAACTCTGCTAGTTCTTGTGGGGACATGTCTGTTGAATCAACAGGAAGATTCATAATTAGAAACTTATCTCTTGATAGCCCTGCCAACTGATATCCAGGCTGGAGAACCACATTTATTGACACAGACTCTGAAGGTGCAAGAACACCTGTACTAGGTCGCACTCTAAATTTTTCAGGTGATGTGGTTTTTATCTGCAAGAAAAGAACCACAATTACATTTAATGTTTCCAAAAGCAAAAAAAAACTGTTACTAAAATAACTGAGACAATTTTATTACCTTGTATGATATAATTTTGTCATCATTATTGGTCAATGTAATTGTTCCCGTCATTTCAGTACCCTCAATAGTGAAACTAATGGCATCAGGTGGTGTAATCTGAAGAGATACATCTGAAAATTGTGCTGTTCATTAATCATTCCAAGAAAACATGGAAATTGCTCTGGAGAGAAATAAGTAATGTTTCATACTGTTATTCGGAAGGCCATCCTGTTTGCTCTGTGCATCACCAAAACCACCAGGAAAGGATTCATTTAAAGGTGATCCATCTGCAAAATGCACCTGCAAAACAAAAAAAAAAGTTCTTGCTAAAGGGAAAAAGGGCCATTTTTTACGTGTGAAAGAAATTTGGTGAACAAAAACCCATATCCTTTAGATTTTGTCTCAATGCACTGTAATTAAACAAAAAAGTTTCAGTTGCCCCAGCAAATTGCCAAATTTCTATTCTGAAAATGAGAAAAAATTACTTGCATAAAACTCCTAAGAGAAAAAGTTTATCGTACAATTTTATTTAACGTAAATAGCTACTTACAAGTTTTTAAAAAAATGAAAAATTTGGATACTAAATTTCATTTGTTACATTGCTCTTGTAAGTGAGAATGTTAGGTCAAAAGTACTTCCCTGTCACAGTAAGAAACATAAGTTTCTCGTTAAACTTTCATGCTGAATAATTTTATGTTCTTAAGTTTAGAACTCTTTTAAAAAGGAAGAGTTTGTTTTCTGAACGTTCAAACATTTCACTATAATACAGATCTATTGTAATAATTACTACCACACAGCACTAAAAGCAAAACACCTTTTCAATCTGTTGGTCACAAAACTATAAATGAGGAAACAAAACTAATATATTCCAGAAGGAAAGCTTACAAATAGAAAAGAAAAAGAAAGATGAACACCTGACTATTCTGGATACAGAGCAGCAGTATTAACAGCATATACAATCCAAAACATACCTGTAGTTTAGAGCAGAAACCAGGTGTCTTTGACTGGTTTCTACTCTAAAAATTTATTCAATGACCATTATTGACCAAAAAATTTTACACACGACCATTGTATGAACATTTTTGACTAGTTTCAGCATAATTTCCTGAGTTTCATCTTTATATACATTGTAATTCTGTTAATGTGGTGCATGAAGCAGTGGTGAATGAATGTACAATTCACAATTACCTTCTTATCAGCTCTTTCTGTTGAAGCACTTTTCTGTTCTGGCACAAAACTGAAAGTATAATCATCTTGACCACCCCATACTTTTAATGCTTGATCAGCGTTTACTACAGTTTTCAAGGAACCTTTGTTCACAAATCTTATTTTCTGAACAGCTTTGGCAGGTAGCCATGATTTGATGATTTTGAAGGCAGCTGAAATACATTTGAAAACTTAATAATTTTCTCCTGTAGATAAGGTGAAAATAAGGGAGGAATTAATCCATCTTGGGAAGAAGAATATTCCACCACAGAACAGGGGAAAACATACAGGAGTAGAAACTGTATGAACATCCAATCACATGATAAGTTTCAAAGTCTGTCTTAAGGTACAGTTCTCTGAGATTACAAAACTCTTCTATATACATTTAACATTACATGTATCTAAAACTTACACGGTGATAATTGGATTTGTTTTTGAACTACAATGTCAAACATTTACACTCGCACCAGTAAAATCCATTGCATTTCTGTCCATTTTAGGTAAGAAACATTTTTCAGAACATACATACAAATTGATTTCCCAACTAATGTTGGAACTTTTGTTGGATCTGTTACTTGGACACTTTCCTTTATCTCAACTTGTGTCTGCCAAGGGTACTGAATTTTTCCCCATCTCTCTCTCTGTTATAATTACACACAGTTTTGGGCCTTCTTATGATGCATCAGAGAACTATGCACTACATATATGAACTCAAGTGGCTAATTCCTTTGTTAAGCAAATACTGTAATTTTTGTCTTTTTATGGTACAATCTGAAAATCAGATACAGAAAGGCACTGTGTTTTGAATCAAAGTGCATTGGTTTCTCTCTTACATTGGGTTCGTACAAGAAAATCTGTAATGCAAAGGGGAAAGGGGCTCAATCATATGTTGATATAGAACCAAGTCATTTATTTATTATTTTATTTAAATACCCTTAAATACTTCACAAATTTTGTCATAGAAAAATAAGGAAATAACCTGGATATCTTGGTAATTCATCCTACGAAAAGAGTGGTCACCCTGTTATTCTTGAAAGTGTGCAATGTAATTTATCTCTATCTTCTATTAAGTTATTTACTTGATATACTATTTAGTTCTAAAAAAATGAACAATTTGCTCTAGAATTTCTGAATTCCATTGTTATTCCTATGATCAACCCTAACTATTGGAAACCTGCCAAAATTTGACAGTAACTGAGTACACATCCACAGAAGAGACCATTTCGTAATCCAAAGAATTTTAGAATATTTTCCGTCTTCCAACCCTTTTTGCTTTTGTCCCAAACATAATTAACTTTTCTTTAAGGATAAATTAAATTAATTTTAGTTTCAATACTTTGGTTGAAATTAAACCAAGCACTGATCATAGCATTTATCTGTTCTTGACACAATGTCTTCAGTAAAATACACTTTTGGCAAATGAACCAGTAAGCAAATTACACCACATATTTGTTTAGATGAATTGTAGGCAAAGATTGTTAGCAAAGCTTCATATGGACTCGCATGTGGTAATTAAAAAAGTAGAAACCTCATGAATATAATGACCATTTTCTGTTGTATTGTGCATGTTTGCACAGTCTATTAAAACTACCAGTAAAGCACGGTTTACTAGTAAACTCAAATTGCTTTCTAAACAAAAATACCTTACTGTTTACACACAACAATATCTCTGATTGGATTAATTCAAGAGCAGGGGGAGGAGCACCACTTCACCAACTGATGAGTGAAAATACCATTTATGCTGCTGTAACAGTCTAAATAAACCCTAAAAACAGCTCTATAACAATTTTCTAAGCTAATTTTCTTAATCTGAATATCGTGAGGTGATGAAATCATAATATGACGCTCCTTTGTATGGACCAATTGTGTCACCAGCAGGGACACATTAATACTTTTGTTAAAACATGCACAAAAATTGTTTAGATATGCAGTATTTGATCACAAAAATGCATTTTACAATTCTACATATTTTTATTATTATGATATTACACATTTTTGCCACTATTTGAGACAGGGAATACGCAAATTAAAACTTCTGCACATTGTATTTTGCGTTAAGACCTCAGAAAGCCACAAGAATTGTATTACGGTTATCTGTTGTTAGGAAGTATATTATATTTCAATATAATTTTGTACATAGAAAATCATCATTTCAACATCACAAGATATGTGAGAATGTTTGTGCTCAATACATTTTCTGGAAGTCTATCACTGTTTCCTCCCAACATTTTACCCTTGTCTGTAAATAAACCCTAAAAAACTTAATTTGTTTCCTTCATAGGAAGTGCATCAAGTGTATCTACTATGGGTTTCCTTGAATTCTTGATCTTCTTTATAAACCAATGACTATCAATGACAGCAGATATTACTTCGGCGGTGTTGGCCGTGAGTAGTTTGAAACTCATTGTACTAACGTATTTGAAGAGGTTCATGCTTTCCATTAATAAATATTTTTTTACATGGAAATTCATATTTTTGTATTATTTTAGGCAACAAGTCAAAAAATATGCAAAAACTGTCATTTACATGCCAAAAAGCACTGAATAAGCAAAATATGCCAATAATGCAATACATTTCCCTTATTTTCAATATTTTGAAATGAAACATATACATTTAAAGTTTCAGAAAAATATGACCATTAACGAAAAACACATAATTGCATGAACTTCCCAACTCTTAGTGATAATATAATTCTTACAATTTTGTTTTCATTATTATATAATCTTTTCTAATTAACTTAAAATAAAAATGAAATAGAAAACTATATAAGCTAATAAAACAAAACTAATTTAAAAAAATAAACATGAAACTATTAAATTACTGTTTTATTTATATTGAGCTGTTGGGCACAAATTGTATATGTTGAAATTTTGGTAAACTGTGGAGAATTTAGAGAGCTAAAATTTGTATTTAGCCCTTCTCATTATCTGTGTCACAACACAAGAGATATTCTTAAAACAAATATTTTTTGTTGAGAGTTTTTTTTAAGGATAAAAATCATCTTTATAGTCTATAGAAAACCGCACGAATTATTGAAGTCAATATTCTTAGGTGCAACTTGGATTTAAAAAATTTATACTGATATAAGAAGCTAAAAACATTGGAAGTCCTCTGAGCAAATTGATTTAAAGCTGAAAAAAAAAAAAAAGTTGTTTTTTTTAGGTCAAATAAAGTTTCAACATAAAAGCAATTGGTCTTCGGGAGGCACTTTTACCTATCTTATGTGTCTATCCCCTTTGTACTTCAACGTTACAATTCACCATTATATGAATATAATTTCTGGACATATTACAAATTCCCTTATTTGGGTCCTGTGACTCATCATGTGGTCCACAAATGCCAAGTGACTACACTTCACGGAAATATGCAAGAATTTCCTGGAATCTCTTCTTGTTTTGTATGTTGACCAAGAAAAAATTAAAGTCACCATAGTCAATTTGTCTCATCAGATAGTATTAACAGATATTAAAATTGAAATCAAATAAACATTGCTGAAACTTGGATATGATAAACTTATGATGATGTATTATTTTCTTCTTCTAACAACTACCACCATTGAGAGAATACCGACCTTTATGTCCTCCCCAAGAAAATTTGAGAACATAAAGGCATTAGCTTACCATTTAAAATCCACGGCATTTCAAATATAATAATATAATTGAGGAAATCTGGATAGTATTGTTTAAACAAGCTAATCAAATATTTGGTAAAATCCATATCCATGTTAGCTAGACCAGTTTCTGCCATGTCAAAAAAAATTGTTACAGGCTTTCCTTTGTCCATTCTGAAAAATTAAATTGCTGAATTAAAATCAGAACTATTCATAAAAAATAAAATCAGGAAATGATTTGAAGATCTACCTTTCCAGTCTCTCAAACCAATACACCACACATCTTTTGAGATCATCCATATCTCGTTGGCCCTTAACATGTTTTTTACAATTAAAAATCAAGAGACTTCTCCCATCAATATCCCTATTGTGTACATACAGACTACCATCTTCCAAATATTCTCGTTTCACATTATTTTCAGTTATTTCTGAAATAAGGTTATTATATAACTGAGATATTTTTGAACACTGGCACATTATCAACCATTTGTCATTAGACAATTTTCATCCTTACCATTGGTCCCAAATTTACTCCTCCATTCACAAGTGTCCCACAACATTTGCAAGGTTAAATTCATATCCAATTCACAGTGAACTAAAAACCTTCGCAACCAGTCATCACCATTCTTAACTTTTGCTAAATCAGCTGCATGAAATCCTTCTGCATAAAACAGGCAGAATAAGTGGATTGGTGATTATTGATATCATAAATCTCAAAATAAAGGGGAAAAAATCAATAAATTTAAAAACTTAATTTAATGTTTACCTGGAGCTGGTGCACCATCAGTCTCTAACTTCTGAAGAAATTTGGAGCGTAATTCTTGAATCTGCTGGGGTGAGGGATCCATAATTAACACAGCGATTACCTTTGCCAGATACGATATTAGTCCTCCAAGACAGGCTGCTGATTAACTTAAAAGGTCAAAGGATACTTGCGCTCCTAATAAAATATAAAGATAATCAATGAATATAACGAGGAAGCAATGATACACCCAAACTGCCGAATTCACCAATCCCGTCACACATTCATATTCTGTACATTCCTAAACTACAACTTTCATTCTTCGAACGTCACTTTTACATAAAGCAATTCCAATTACTTGTGTCAAAGTCCAGACGTGCGCGGTCCAGCGCCATCGTGGAACAGGTGTACCAATGTATTAACAAGCAATTAACAAGTGTGCCATACCACATGGCATCATATTTACCTCTCGTGCACGGGAGAAAACATGATTTACGTAACAAAATACTGGCCAAAATTTTTATTTTCAAAAAGTCACAAATTGTGTAACTTTACTATAATCCTTGCAGACTAAAATATAATTAGAACACACAATGTTGCCCCGAGGAAAGTTTGTTAAGACTTGACTTTAAGCCATAATAACAGTGATCGTTTCTGTCTGGTTCAAGGAGACGTGCCCTCGGAAGAATACTTGTGTCCCTTGTGTAGTATCAGCCACGACTATGATAATATATTCACCATACACCACACAAAATATTCTTATGCAGTAAAACCATGGATGAATAGAAGGATGCACAACTCCCTATCTAGGTGTTAATCAATGGTAAAACCCTTTTATCATTAGAAGTGTCCGATTTTGCGAGGTGTACGAGTACAAAATAGAGAGGAGTCCACAAATTTACTGAATTTCATCAGACCTCTAATAAAGAGGGACATATAAAAATCCGATAGTGTCCAAACTGAAAGGTGTCAGTACTACAGATGAAACCAAATATAAAAATAATTGGATGTGTAAGATATGAGTAAAAAGAAGGAAGATCTCAGTCAAACGGATAGGGAGATGTGACTCAGGGCATCAACTGATGTCACTGTAGTGCTTCTGACCGGGAGGTCCTAGGTTCGAGTCTGACGTTGGCAGATTTCGCGACACTAGCTTGTCAGCTAGGCCGAATTCAGTCTGGAGGAGAATTCTAGCGACCGGCTGCTCCGATCGGTAGTTTTCCATAGTTTCTCCGCCAACCGAATGCCGGAACCGTGGCTAACAAACGGGCCATCGACCTCGCGCGATCTTTCCTTTCTCTTCCTATATCACCCTTTATTTACACACATTTACAATAACATGTTCTGCACTACCACGCATGCCGAGAGATCGGTCGGGAGCTTAGAGCGAGTCCTTGTTGGGGCGGTGCCACACTGGTGAGAGATACTTGGTTAGAGAAACCTTGCTAGCCAATGGTAGGTCGGCGACGGATTTTCTTAACAAGTGGGGGAAGATCACTGCCACCTCCTGCGATAAAAAATGCACTAAACCTACGGGGCTAATGATCGTGTATGTTGACGCTGTCGAAATCACTCATGAATCAATCAATCACCCAAACGGATTCAAAGAATTTCCCGGAAACTGTAATGAGTATAAGATAACATCCAAAACGGAATAATTTTTCATAAAATGTAATTTACTCTCAAAAAACTACCTTCAACATTTTTGCTACAATACTTTCAATTACATTGTATTTTCTATCTAATTCAGTGACTTTGCATTGATAAGCTGATATTCATTTGAACGCTCTGACTGGGAAGTACTTCTCTATTCATTAAATTATCACGACCACTCGAATGGAAAAACATGTTTGATAAGATGCGCAGAAGAAGAAAGAGCCTTGGCAAGGATAGGATCAAGGACGGCCACTTTATTACTAAAGTTTTTTTCAATACATGTTTAGAATTTTTTTTTACACTAGTTGAAATACGTTGCATTGCCTAAGAATTTATTTAACACAATCAAATAACCAGGAGTACAATCCATCCATAATATAATTTTGCATTTAATTTCAATTTCATTTCTACTTTCTCGTATATGTACGTATATACGGAGTAAAACACGTAGTATAAAGAAAGTTAGGTATCAAAATTACTCTTTTTTTTTACATGCTTTACTTTTCATTCCCACATCTTATTAAGCCCAGTGAATTCATCTATTCGTTTTCACATTTAACTCAATTAAAGAACGCAAGTTTGCCTTAGGTTAGGTGATCTTAAGAAGTACCTTCTTGAGCGCGAGAAAGTCAAAAATACCCTAGCTTACACTTAGGGGACTAATGACCTTAGGAGAAAATTATATGTTCTCGCTGTGCGGAATGACGAGTACAGGGTTTTTACTTAACAGTTTATTCACCAAATTTAGTACAACAATGAGCCCTTTCCAAAACAACATAGAAAACTTTCGTGTCACTCAGCTTTGCGACGCGATTCGCCACCCTCCCGTGCGTCTCTGGCACGGCCGTTCAGCTCCCACCAGTTTTCCCTCGCCATGGGGCCTGGTCGCCCGGGTTCCTCTCCCCACGACCGGAGTTCGCCGCACACACGCTGACGTACTCTCCGTTGTACTCGCTGCGCTGCACTCCACTCAGTGCTGTTTGGAACGGTACTACGGGTACTACCACGGTGTAAGATATATATTACACCGTGGTACTGTGCATTTAGAGCTGGCAGGCCCGTTTTATAGACTGGTGCCCTGCCATGGAGCCGATCGCGCGTGACCCGGTCTTTCTGCTGCTTCTCGCAGCCTCAGAGCGCGCGCTTCCCATGGCGCGCACGCGGCAACTTTGAAAGCTTGCCACAACCAAATCATTCTATTTCTGTACATGGCCTCAGATCTTTTTTGAAGACTGAGCTCTCTGTACTTCTATCTCTGTATGATATACAGTCAGGGTTACCAGATTGGGCGGAATTCCGCGTTTTGGGCTGGAAATCGGCTCTCTCGCGGGACCAAAATTGATTTCGTGAAATGCCGGTCAATGAGCGGAATTGCACCAAAACGTGGGCGGTTTTGGTCGAGTTTTCAGATTATGACGAAATGTCAAAAAATAGTCACGTTGATAATGAGTTGTTAATTCGTTCAAATTTACTTTGAGAAGTTAGTAATGTAGTATGTCAGGAGTAGAGTAATTTTAGACCTCTAGTCGGGTGTGTTCTAAAAGTCATAGCTTCGTGGCCAACATGAGTGCATATATCACATTGGCAGTACTTGCAGTTAAACAGACAGTACAAGAGATGTAAATCAAAGTGTAGCTACAATCATCCAAAAACGATTTTAATTTGATATGACAATGTAATAAATAAAATATCATTTGAAAATAATTATTTTATCCCTTAAAATATTCCTCTCATGTGCTGTAGTCATCAGAATAGTCATAACAGTTTTTTAAATATTAAGATATAACATATTACTGCAAAAAATACTTATGTTCTTGGTACTAGGTACATTATTAATTACAATGTTAAAAAACAAAACAAAAAACAACTAATCAAGCATTTCATAGGGTCACTACCTCAAAAAACTGTAAATACAAATTATTTTAATGCATGTTCAAATTTTTCGCTTGGAAAGTTGAATTTTTCTTGTTGGGTGAAATTGGGCGAATATACAGCCATGTAACGGTGATTTGTTGTACGAAGCATCTGGTAATCCTGTTTTCAGTTCCTTCTTGTTCTCTCTTCCTTTCTAGCGATTCCACAAGTGCGAAGAACGAAATCTACAATTCAGTTTTCGTTGATCATGTTTAAAAAGGGAGTCCACAATAGAATTTCCACTTAAAATATTCGCGATTTCGCAAGTAAAATAAAATCATAGTCATGTTCAAATTCATAGTTCATGTGCAATGAAGATCACAAAGAAAAGGTAGTTTCCTTGAGTGCTAATGTAAATTTAAGAGTTAGAATAAAAAGGATGAATCATTTTAATTATTAATTTCTTACATTAATTACTTTAAATGGTGATTTTTTTAACATTTCACATATTTTTCCCTACTTTCGCAAGAACAAATGCCTTCTTTACATGCCTATTTTAGTAAAAATTAAATACCCTTTTGCCGACCTATTTTAGGTAAAATAAATATCTGAACTTCTGGGATTTAAATACAAAGTTTAAGAAAGAAACATATCAGTGTGCGGGCGCTCTGAGAGAAAGAAAATCGACGACACCGCAGTCATGAACATGCACTGAAATCATTGCAAAATAAAATAATGTTCCCGTCATTGTCTTCTTTATCTACACGCAGCGCACCTGGACTTCCAACGCAAAATTGTGTGAGGAAAGGAGTATAACTTTTAATGAGTGCTTGACACGTAGTTGCTAATACAATTTGTATATTTACAAGTGTTGGGTTATCGTTGTATTTATTCTGACTATTCCACTACTGAAATTAAAACCAATAGTATTTCACTATACACACAAAATGCACCAGTGAGGACGACGAATCTCAAAAAAATTATCGCTTTTTCTACCCAATTTTTTTTCTTACCGTTCCCCCTACTGGTTAATAGTAAGTTGCGACTCATCTAAGGAGGCGGTATGTATAGATCGTTGTGTTGACGTGCAATAAACCGCGTATGTCCCATGGTGCAAGGATATGGGTGAGCGCATGACCTACTCTACTCGGTAGAGTAGGCCATGGTGAGCTCTAGCGTATCGTATTCGACTACAGCCAATGAGTTTTAGGCACCAGTTTGCGTCTCAATATTAGCAGGAATCTTAAATGCACCCTGATACCAAAATTACCACCTTGTTACAAGTCATTGAAACAGGTTATTCATTTCTTTTCATTTGCAATTTCATATAAATATTTAAATATTTGTCATTTCTTTTAAATATTGCATCTTGTATTATTACCATCATCGTATTCCTTTGGGTCGGTCACCGTTGAAAATTGTCCCTTTCTTTATGCCACTTTCAAAATGTTTCTCGCTCTCCATGCAACATGGCGGCCAGCGTCTGGTCTGGCTTTTCAAACGAAGTGCCCTTGTTGTGGTCACGTGATTTGTGACGCAAACCGGTGTTGCGGAGAACGAAGACAAATCGTTGCACCGGGATAGCTCACCCAACTCTTTCCACCATGGTATGTACCTCATTGATTTTAACATGCTTTCAGTTATTTTCAATATTTGCCGCTTTTTGAAACACTATTGGACATCGTTTCATTTCTGGAATAGAATGAATATTAGAATATTAAATTATACATGTACAATATGTATGTACTTGGCACGACAGCCCGTGAACGGGGGCTCAGGCCTACCGGCGACGTCCCTGCCACGCGGCCATGGGTTAAGAGGGTACGTGTGGTTAGCACATAGACGTCCCCACGCCGTATTCCGGTCTTCTCAACCTGTGAACCTTTTTCCATCGTCACACAGCAACATATACTGGAACGTTGCAAGGATAACGCACACAACAGGCTTGGCTCGACCGGGAATCGAACCTAGGGCTGCATAGTGGAAAGCGAGCACGCTGACCAAGAGCTAGCCACAATATTAAATAGAATATTAAATTCTAGTAAATTATCGATATTTCTGCCCAAAAAGATTTTACTACCGCATAAGACTCAAAATTCCCGCTCTCTTTTGAGAAAAGTGTTCCTCCTAATGGCCTTTTCCGTCAGACGAATGATTTAGGCGCTAGAAATCGTTGTCTAACGCAATTTCTCCCCTCGATTTAACTTGCTCTTGCGCCTAAACAGTTCGTCTGGCATAAAATTCTTATGCGAGATCGGATTTACCTATAAGCAAAACAAGCAGTTTCTTAGGGGCCCTTATCCATGAGGGCCTCACACTTCG